CTCTGAAAAAAGTCAGTAATGAGAACTGACTAAAAATACCGCAGCCATGCAACCCGGGGCTCCTCTCGGCAGCGCTGAGATTTCTGGTGGGAGGAAGCCCGTCAGGACGCAGAATCGATAGGTGATCAATTCCTCGGCTCCCCCGTGGGCCTGCACCGGCTGAGGGGACCCGGGTCTGTTTTAGGTCTGAAGTGGGCCCGTCGGCCTCAGTTACCGATAGGACCAGCCAGACAGGCCCAGCCCGTCCGCCTCCGGGACCCTGAGCTGCCCTCTGCCTCGAGGCCGGCAAGTCCCACAGGAAATGAAACACATGCGTGGCCTCTGATGGAGACACCGTGACAGGCAGTCTCTCCCAGACCAGCATTAGTGCTCTAGCCCACAGCTGGGGTGCTGGGCCCTGAGCCACTGTCCTGGGGACCAGGAGCTCTCGGGAAGAAGGGGACGGAGCCGCCTCCTTCCACTTCACACTGCTTGGTCCCTGCCCTCAACTTGCTCACTGTCCATGGTGGCAGAGGGGCCCCTGGGATGGGGGAAAGGGCGAGACCAGCAGGCTGATCTGTGTGGGGTCAGAGGAGGACAAGGGGCTTTTTCAGCTGGACGGAGAGGAAAGCAGCCTTCAGACATGGGATGGGGCCACCCAGAAGACAGTGGCTTCTTGGGCGGGGGGCTTGAGAGAGTGTTGGGAACTGGAAAGACCCGGAGGCCGTGTGGACGGGCTGGGCCAGCTCAGGAAGGTCCTGGAACACAGAGCTGAGCTTAGGCCCCTCCTGGGGCCCTGCCAGGCTTGGGGAAGGGTTTGAGGGCAGGAAGGACAGGCGGGCAGGTCGGAAGATTCTGTTCTCTTAACAGCCTCTCTGGGCCGGAGCAAGAGTGGGTCTTTTGCAGTCTTACTTTTTGGACAGAAACAAGATAGACTTAGGTCATCTGGGTGACTACATTTTCTCCCAGGCACGAAAATAGCCGAAGCCTTTGCTGGTGTCGGGCTGGTGGGTGCAGGTGTGGCATCTGGAGGTCTGGCCTGTGAGTGGCAGGTGCAGGGCCTCAGGATGTTGATGGTGGTCGTGGCTGTGGAGGCTGCCTCCTGCTCACGGGGGCCTTTCCTGCAAACACGGGACCCGGACATTGTGTGATTGGGCTGGAGGAGAAGGCCAGGGTCCCATTAGCACACGGTGACTCAGGACTGTTTATTGTTCTGGAAGCCACATTAAGGCAATTCAGAAACTAAATCTGTGTGCTGCTTCCCCAGATAGAAGCTGGTTCCGTGTGTGAACATTTTGGGCAGCCTTTGTAATTTTGTGGAAAATAAACATGTAGAGGTTCCTATTGAGCAAGGCGTAGCTTTGTCTGTGTTTTGTGCCCAATGAATTGCTTCGTGCACATGGCTTCTCATCCTTTGCCATCTTGTCCTTGGGACCCATGTGTCGAAGGATAAATTCATACGCAATTTTGCTAGGGTATTGCAAGAGGGTATCGCCAGGTTCCTCTCCACAGCATTCCTACCAGTGACGTGTGTGAACGTTTACGTCCACTCTTACCTGTTTCTCAAAGGGATGCCATACTGACCACCCTAAGAAAAGCACTGCCCACACCTTTCCCGTTACTCCTGACCCCTCAGCCCTCCCTGTTCCACTTTCGATAGATGGCATCCCCTCTTTTACTTGTTTTGTTGTTTATATTCCCTCCCCATTAGACCGTAAACTACATGAGTGCAGGGACCTGACTTCTGTCTTGTTTACTGCTGTATTCCATGGCCAGACAGACTCTGATCTATAATAAGATTTTTTTAAAAATCCTCACCCAAGGATATGTTTATTGGTTTTAGAGAAAGAGGAAGTGACAGAAAGAGAGAGAAAGAAATATGGATTGGCTGCCTCCCCCATGGGCCCTGACCAGCGATCATACCTGCTACTGAGGTGTGTGCTCTGACCTGAATTGAATCCACCACCTTTTGGTGCATGGGATGTGCTCCAACCAACTGAGCCACACTGGCCCGAGCCACACAGTAAGAATTTGATATATTTGTTGATAAATTGAACTTGATAAATTAATGAATAAAGAAATGAGTACAGAAAAACATCATTCAGAGTCCCCCTTTCCCTCCACCCCATGGCTTTGGAATCTCGGACACGGCCTCCGGGCACTATCACATTTTAGCAGAAAGTTGGGAGATTGCAAGTCAGGTTCATCCTAAACTGTTGAGTGGCCACCCCGCCCAGTCCATTGCTTCTTTACAAAGCCCTTTCATGGCCCGTGAGGAAAGCTGGGCAGCATCTTTATTCCCAGTTCACAGAGGAGACGAAGCCCAGAGGGGAAGTACATGCCTGGTGGGTGCAAGGTCGGGCCTGCACTCCAAGCTGCCGAAGCTGCCTCACTGGCGAAAGCAGCTTGATCTGCACAGTTAACAAGGAGGAAATCGAGGCCAGAACATGCTTTCTCAGAACACCACCTGGGGAAATACCTCTCCGAACTCAAAGCAACTGCAAAAGCTGTAAGACCACAGGTGTCCTCCTCCCACCCTCCCTGCTGACAAGTTGCTCTCTCTACCCAGTTCCATGCATCAGGAAATTTCACCAACTTTCCATGAAAGCATTTTTGTAACAATGTCCCATCTTCCGGGGCTTGCTGGGAGCAGCCAGGGGGCCAGTTTCCTGAGCTGGAGCTCCTGCTGGTTTATCAAAACGCAGGACGGCCAAAACCGGTTTGGCTCAGTGGATAGAGCGTTGGCCTGCGGACTGAAAGGTCCCAGGTTCAATTCTGGTCAAGGGCATGTGCCTGGGTTGCGGGCACATCCCCAGTAGGGGAGGTGCAGGAGGCAGCTGATCGATGTTTCTCTCTCATCGATGTTTCTGACTCTCTATTTCTCTCCCTTCCTTTCTGTGAAAAATCAATAAAATATATTTAAAAAAAAAAACAAAAAAACGCAGGACGGAAGTTTGGAACGAGAGTTGGTTCAGGTGAACAAGGTGCTCTTGACCCAGCAAGGGAAGGAGGCCGCACGGCGTGGTGCCCACGTGGAGCTGGCAGGTTTGCGGCTGGTTCCCTCGGTCCCCGGATCCAACATGGGAATCAGCCTCAGGCCTGCAGACAGAGTCCCGGTGACCCACCCCTCAGTCCCCACTGTGCCTGGGGATAGGTGCACATAGCGGTGCTTTGAGAGGGTCCATCCGCTGAAGGGTGTGAAGGAACGACACGCCTTCCCTCTGTGCCACACCCCGTGACAGCCAACAGCCTGGGCCTGTTCCGTCCTGCGTACCCGGGATTCCTACACGGCCCGTAATGGACTCGGTCTGTGTGGTCCCCGAATGCGCGGGAATTGTCACCAAAGTTGTGCGAGTGCGTGTGTCTGCCGAGGACCCTGCCCTCCACGCTCTCGGCCTGTGCGGGAGGACCCCGGTGCCGCCGGTGTCTCTGAAACAGCCTGGCTCCCCGTGGGCATTTGCTGCGTGTCCAGCTTCCTGTCTGGTGATGGGCATTCTATTTCCTCTCCTCCCTGGTCTGGGAATGAAACACTCATCTCCTGCCCAAACATGTGTGTCTGCTGGCCCCACCCAGCACAGCTGTTTGCCCGGCCATCGCTGGACCAGGTTCCCACTGCGAGGACAGGACGTGCTCCCCACATCCGCCTCTGCCACCCGCCTGGTGACTTGTGGTCACTGAGCCCAGTAGCCAGAGAGAGACTTTTTAAAAAGACTCTCAGACATGTAATTAAAATCTCAGTGTTGGGTTTGGGGGAAGGTGCTGGGCGGCTCCCGCCCCTGCTTTCCGGAAACACAGATTTTTAGTGTTTGAAAGTGACAGAGGCTAAAGTGAGACGGCCCTAAATATACTGTCCTGGGCATTTCCGGCAGCTGGGCATGTGGGATTAATTCTGCACAAGCGGCCTCTTGCCCAAAGTATTGGACCAGGCCCCGCAACGGAGCCACCTCGGGTCCCCCTCCAGCCCATGCTTCACCCCACCTCCATGCACAGCTTCCACACCACACCCTGCTCCCTGCTGCCTGGAGCCTGGCCCCCCACTGGCCAGAGGCACAGCCATGCTCCTAGACCGAACTCCAACTCTCCTCAGTCAGGCCACCGCCATACTCACAGCCCGTACCCCACCCCTCTGATCTGTGGGTGGCCCTGGCCCACTCAACTTGTGCATTCGATGTCCCCTCTGCCTAGAAAGCCCTCCCTGCCACCTCCCCACCTGCCAAGACTCTGCCATCCCATCCTTTGAGGCCAGTTCAGATGTCATCTCCTCCAGGAAGCCCACCCAGATCCCACCACACCACGGGACCTCTGACTCCCTGCACTGACTGGGCCTCCCCAGGAGCTGTCACTCCCACTTTGCCTCTTATTTCTTTCCATCTCTCCCTCTGGCCCTCCCTCCTCCTTCACCTGCTCCAAGAGGACCCTGCCACCCTTTCGCCCTTCACTGTGTTTTATGGCTGTTGTCTCCCTGTCTGTGCTGTCATCTCTCAGCTCCAGGCCTTTGCTCACACTGGTCCCTTCCTCTGCAGCATTCTTGTCCCGTGACTTCGTGGTAAATTCACTGTCACCCCTCAAGGCCCAGCTCCAAAGTCAGCTGTGAGCGCTCACCGTCCCACGTCCCATCCACACACCTGGTGGACTCTGAAGTGCACTCAGTCATGTCCCTGCCGCCACTCGGCCTCCTCTCCTTGGGTCTGACGTCCATCTCTCAGAGGAGGGACCTGTCCTCTCTGCCTCATCTGTGGGCCCAGAGACAGAAGGGGCGGGGCCGGACCTGCTGGGTCGGAGGCTTGGGGGCCAGAAATGGAAGCTGCCCTGTTGGCCCCACTGTGCGTCAGGTGCTGTGTTGGGCACCTCACTACCGGGCTCCGGGCCCTCTCAGCACTGGGGGCAGAGCCTGTGGGCAAGCCCGTTCCCCAGGGGGGAAATGCCTCTCCCAGGCTGTCCCGGCCCCTGGTTCCCACGGGCCCTGCCACCCTGGAGCCCGAGCCCAGAGCCAGGAGCGAACAGCCCGCTTTGTCTTGCAGTGGAGCTCGACCGCTCCCTGGGCCACCAGGAGCCCCCCTGGAAGGAGTTCCGCTTTGACCTGACCCAGATCCCGGCGGGGGAGGCGGTCACAGCTGCCGAGTTCCGGATTTACAAGCTGCCCAGCACCCACCTGCTCAACAGGACCCTCCACGTCAGCATGTTCGAGGTGGTCAGAGAGCGGGCCAACAGGTGCCTGCCCACACCCCTCCTCCCGGTCAAACTCTGTGGGTGTGTCGGCCCAGCCCTGGGGGGACGGACGGGGGCTTCCTGGGAGCACACCCTCCAAGAGGAAGATGCTTGGCCCAAGGCCCTGGCACCCTGGCTTCAATCCCCTCCCTACTGTCCTGGCTGTGGGACCTTGGACGGGTCACTGAGCTCCCAAGCCTCAGTTTCCCCTCTGTCCACGGGGGCGGCAGCACCTTTCTATAGCAGATGCAGTGAGATGAGGCAGTGAGGCGCCCAGCTCAGGGCCAGGAGGGCCGACGCCCCAGGAGTGGTCTCCAGGTGGGCACAGGAAACACGAAGGCAGCTGTGCCGGCTTCGGTTAATTGTTCTTTCGTATCCACAGGGAGTCTGACTTGTTCTTTTTGGATCTTCAGACGCTCCAAGCTGAGGACGAGGGCTGGCTGGTGCTGGATGTGACAGCAGCCAGTGACCACGGGTTGTTGAACCGTAGCAAGGACCTGGGACTCCGCCTCTACGTGGAAACGGAGGACGGTAAGGCCGGGGTCAGGCAGCGAACCTTCTCCCGGGCTCTGATCAGAGGGTCCGGGTTGCACCCCAGCTCTGCAGCTTTCTGACGGGGACCTTGGCAGGTTACTTACCCTCCAGGCCTTGTTTGTCGCCTGTGGAAGGAGGAGTCAGGCCTCATTCATCCACCAGGTGTTTAGGGGCGGAGCCTCCTTTATCCCAGGCAGTGGGCACAGAAAGCCCGAAGGTGGGCCCGGATCGCCTGTGTGACTACATCAAGGGGCCGCAGGGCTGGAGCAGAGGCGTCAGGGAGAGTCGGTGGGAGAGGAGCTGAGAGAGCAGGCAGCGGCATTCTGAGTTAGGGTAAGCCAGCTAAGGGGTGGAGTTTTTAGGGAGCTTCTTGAATTTCACAGCAGTGGAGGGCGGCAGGGTCTGAGTTAGCTTTGCATAGAAGAGCCCTCAAGGAGGTGTGGCGTCACTCCCATCCCTTAGTGTGGGCAGCCCTCAGTGACTGGCTTCCCCAGGACAGTGTGCAGGGGGAGGGGAGGGAACTGGACGGTGGGAAAAGCTGACCAGCACCACCTCAGCCAGGCGGTCAAGGTTCCCATGGAAACTCACTGGGCTCTGGTGTACCCTGGATGTGGGGGGATGGGAGGGCTCTTCTCCTCGGGGGTCTTCTCCCCAAACCCATGGCCCAGTGTCGCCATGAGAAAAACATCAGACAAACCCAACTGAAGGGCGGCCTACAGAACGCCTGAACCGGCAAGGCCACCAACAACAGGGCCGCCCGAGAACTGCACAGCCCAGAGGGCCTGAGGCGTTGCCATGACTCCGTGCCCTTGGGGTCCTGGATGGGATTCTGGATGGGATCCTGGAGAGGAAAGGGACCTGGGGAAACGAATGAAATCTGAATAAATCGTGCTGTTGAGTTAAGAAGGTATCAATACCGGCCCATTCGTTGTGACAAATGTACCATAGTAATTGAGATTTAACATTTCCCGGGGGACACTGCATTGGGTATACGGGAATTCTCTGTACAAGCACCTCTGCAAGTTTTTCTACATCTCAACTGTTGTAAGTAAAAACTTTATTTATTGTATGCATAAGCACACACCCTGACCGCAAGGAGATGTGTAAGCTGTGGGGGCAAGAGTGAAGGGAAGCCAGGGAGGCCCCGGCAGCCAGTGTCCAGGTGAGGGCTGGGGCTGGGGAGGCGGGGCGGCTGGTAGCAGCAGAAATGGAGGCAAGTGGGGAGAGGGGTCGGGAACAAAGTGGACGGAGCCATTGGCTTTGTTTTTAAATTACAATTTACTGTCCATACGGTTTTCTGTTAATTTCAGGCGGACAGCATAGTGGTTAGACAATCATATACTTTATAGTCTTCCCCCGATATTTCCAGTACCCACCTGACGCCATACATGGTTATTACAATAGTATTGGCTATATTCCCTATGCTGTGCTTTACATCCCGGGACTATTTTGTAACTACCAATTTGAATTTTTGTTATTACTGATTTTAGAGAGGGAGAGAGTAGAGACATCAGTGTGTTTATGCATTAATTGGTTGCCTCTTGTATGTGCCCTGACCGATGGGAGGGAAACCTTGGCCTGTGGGGACAATGCTCTAACCATTGAACAACCCAGTCAGGGCCTGTAACTACCAATCTGCACTTCTTAATCCTCCCCTTTTCATCCAGCCCCCACCCTCCAATTCCCCTCCCCTCTGGCAACCATCAGTCTGTTCTCTGTGTGCCAATGGGTTTTTAAAATACATACTTTTTTCTCCCCTGAGTTGGGGAAAAAGAAGAGGGGCAGGTTTGAAGTGGGGAATGCCTCACTGGTAGCCCTGGCTGAGGCCCATAAAAATGTCATTCCAGGACAGGTGCACTGGGGACACAGGTTTGGGAACCAGTGAAACGGAAAAGTGGGTTTAGTGGCTTGAAACTGGGCAGGCACCTGGGAAAGAAGTTCAGCAATGGAGCCGGAAAGGGTCTTGCCACTGAGCCTTCCCCTGAGGGGCGCCCCCTGGGGACCTTCATGAGCCCCAGAGCCAGTCCCAGGCCCTGTGGCTGTCCACCTTTCCAGGGTTGGATCAGAGAGGGAGGCTGGGCGGAGTGGTGGCACCAGCAGGCTGGCGCGTCCCCAGCCCGGAGCCCTCCCTGCTCTGTGACTTGTGGCCTGGGGCGCACATGGCCGGCTGCTGCCTGTCCCTGCCAGGGCCCATTCCTGGCAGGCTCCTGGCCGAGTTGCTCAGGGGCTGTGTCCCCACCGGCTGCTCAGGGTCCTCACGGGCCAAGGGCTGCCTGTGCGGCTTCACTGTCAGCGCTTGTACCTGCGCCAAGTTCTAAGGGATCGTGGAGGCTGTGAAGGACATCTCTCATGGGGTGAAAATCATGGTTGGGGCTTTGGGCTCTGTGCGATTCTGGAGAATGTTAGGGGTGCTGCTCAGACCCCAGTGGAGCATTTGACTATGATCAGCAGCAACGTGGGCATGGACCACTGTGGGCTGGGCCTTTATGGTGGCCAAGCAGATGACCCGCATCGCATGGTCTGCCCGTACGTGGGCCAAGACGCGCTCTATGAGCACCACTTCTTGGCGGGTGAGCTGGACCTGGAGGTGACCCCAGGGCCCTTTGGCTGAGCGCATCCACGCAGGCAGGGCTGGGGTGCCGCCTTCTACACGCCCAGGGCCAGCGGGACTCTGGTTCAGGAAGGAGGCGCCCCCATTAGGTACGATCACAGCGGCCAGTGGCTGTCGTGAGTCAGCCCAGAGAGGGGAGGAGTTTCACGGGCAGCACTGTCTTTTGGAGCGGCCATCACCAAGGATGTTGCTTTGGTGCAGGGGTGGAAAACACTGAGTGGCGAAACGCTATCTGGGAGTGCCAGGAAGTTCAACCTGCCCGTGTGCACAGCTGCCGAACCTCCATGGGGGATGTTAAAGAAATGGTGGGTGTGGGATTGTTTGTCCCAGAAGACACTCATGTAGGTCACATGATACAGGGGGAAAGTTTGAGAAAAGAGTTGAGTGGTTAACAATCCAGAAAGAGAAAGATGGAAAAGCTAGGTCTTTGGATGATGTAACAGCTCAAATCATCAAACGGGAAGATCTTGAATTTGAGGATGGCATGTATGCCAACGTGGGCATAGGAACCCCTCTTCTAGCCGCAACTATATATCCGTCCCAATATAACTGTCCACCTTCACAGTGAAGATGGAGTCCCAGGCGTGGGTCCATGTCCATTAGGAGGAGGTGGATGCACATCTCATCAGTGCTGGCAAGCAAACCGCCATCATTCTTCCCAGGGGCTGTTTACTCTCCAGCGATGACTCAGCTAGGACCGTGCAGGTTTCCAAATACGGTGACCTGGCTACCTGGATGACCCCGGAAAGAAGGTGAAGGGAATGGGGGGTGCGGTGCACTTGGTGTCCAGGATCAAGGCCAGAGTAGTGCTCACCATGGAGCACTGCACCAAGGCCAACGAACCCCACATCTTGGAGAAGTTCTCGATACCCCTGACTGGGAAGCGGTGCGTGGACAGAATCATCGTGGAAAAGGCCGTGTGACGTGCACAAGGGCAAGGACTGGCGCTGGCTGAGCTCTGGGAAGGCCTAACCCGGAGGACATCAGAGAGCGCGGGGCGCTTTTGCCGGCTCACCCACGGCCAGGCCCCTGCAGCAGCTCACAGCCCCCCTGGGAGGGAGCCCTTGCTCACAGAGGCGTGTCTTTCATTTTAACCTCAGGGTCGCATCCAGAGGAGTCCGGGATCACATTGGTCCATTTCACAAGCAGCCTGACCCGTTTTCTCCCGGCACCTCGGGCTTCCTGCCACCAGAAACACTGTCCTCTCAAGAGGGAAGTGACTTTAAACAAAACAAAAGGAAAACAGGCGTCTGTCTGTGTGCTCTGTGGGCCCTCAGAAAGCGCTGCTGCAGGCGTCCAGGACTCGGACGCCTCTTCACTGTGATTTTACATGAAAGCCGTGCAGCTGGAGGGGACCCCACGGGAAGGTTTCCTCCCTCATGAATGTCGGCGGGGCGGGGAGTAACCCCACCCAGAGGGTAGCAAAGGCACCATTTCACTAGTCCTGTGAAAACATGCAACTGTAAACCTCAGCCCTGCTGGTGTGGCTCCCTTGGTTGGAGCGTCTTCCCGTGCACAGAAGGGTCGTGGGTTTGATTCCTGGTCAGGGCACATACCCAGGTCCAGGCGCGTGTGGGAAGCAAGTGATTGAGGTTCCTCTCTCTCTCTCTCTCTCTCTCTCTCTCTCTCCCTCTCTCTCTCTCTCTCTCTCTCTCTGTCTTCCTCCCTCCCTTCCTCTCTCTAATATCAATAAAAACACATCCTCAGGTGAGGATAATAATAATAATAAATTTAAAACAAAAAACCCCCCCATAAATGTCAGGTCCTGGTGGGAAGACATGCTGCCTAAATGAAAGCTTTTCTCCTTTGGCCCTTCTGACTTTTCTGCTGGGCCTTTCATTTTGTGGCTGGATTCTGTTTCCTGTAGCCTCACCTCCTCTTCCCCACACGCCGCCTCCGCGTGGCTCAGTGCACATCCCAGAAGGAAAGGAGGACCGCGCCGGGGACGTGACCTGGTCGTGGGAGGATGCAGGGGAGGGGCTGTGGGTGCCACCAGGGTTTCCTCCATAGACAGTCCCCCTGTGTGTTGCCAAGGGCTGTGGCTTCCGCTAGGAGGAGTTCTAGAAACCTAACCGAGGGACTCAGACGGGTTTTCTCACCGTGACCCAGTGCTCCTGTGTCCTCCTGAACTGACTCTCTGTCCTCCCTCTCTGTCGTGGAGCCTGACCTGGCCTCTTGTTAATATTCTCTTGTCATCCAAGAAGGGCCTGAGGGATTCCATCCTGAATCCTTAGTCTCAAAGACTTAGAAAAAAGTGAGTTCGTAGGTGTGTGTTTGGGGCGCGGGTGGGCCGAGGGGGGTGTTAAAACCGGACTTGGAGCTTGCACTTCCTAAGCATGGCTCTAGGGGGCGCACCACCAACATGAGCCCCTGGGTAAGACCAGGGAGTTCCAGCTGGTCAAGGAAGGCCTTTCAGGGAGGCCTTGCAGGGGCCTCATCCCCAGGAAGGGACAGGTCCTGGGATGGAGAGGCGGGAGGCAGTGCTCACCGAGGGCACAGCCTGGGGGTGTGGGGGGAAGAGGCCAGGGCATGACCAGATGGGGTGGGTGGGATGGAGTAGACACCTTTGGGGGTTCCTGGGCAGATGTGCCCTGGGAGTCGGGACGTCCCAGTGGCAGTGTGGGACAGGCAGAGGCTCCCAGGGGCCGACAAGTTACAGGGCTGTTAAGCAGTAGAAAGGAGGAAAGGGACTGGGTTTCCCATCCTCACTCGATGAAGTCGCCTAAGGCACAAAAGCAGACCAGGCCCACAGCTGGGATGCCCTCCAGGGTTTCAACCAGGCATCCGAGTGACCTTCAGCATGGCACCAGGGTCACATCCATGACTTCAGGCTGAGGTGGAGCAGGGGCTGCAGGGGCACCCAGAGCAGAAGGAAGCCTGGGGAGAGGCTTGGCCTGGCACAGCTGGGAGGCGCATGAATTAGGACAGGATCGGGCAGGGGAGCTGCCAAGGCATCTGGGCTCTGATGGGGCGACTCGGATATGGATGAGGCTAGAGGTCCCATGGGGCCTACCCGGCTCAGAGGAGCAGCATCTTCCATCCTGCGTGGCCCACAGCTCCAGGCATGGCCTCGCATACCCCATCTACTGCAATGGGGATGGCATGCCTGCCAGCACCTCACAGGTCAGGTCTAGAGGCGGTACCTGGGCCCCAGAGGCTCCCAAACTCCCATCTCCACCTTTCTGGAAAGGGGCCTGTCAGCTGGCAGCCGAGGAGCCCCCCAAGAAGACAGCCAGGAGAAGGCAGGGAGCCCTGCTCAAGATGATGGGAGGGGAGCTCTGGGCTCTGGAAGGAGGGCCGGGGGGTCCATGCCCAGGCCTCCCAGGTTAGGCCGTCTGAAAGACTGGGGTCAGTCCCCTAGTCCGGCCCCCCTGCCCCCAGACCTGCCTCTGCAGGGTGTGCTGGGGGTGGGTGGGGGTGTCCTGGCTGGTTGCAGCTTGCTTGGGACCTTGAACAGGTGCTGCTCACTGGGCTTTGGTTTCTGCTTCTGTGAAGTGGGACCTAGGATCAGCTGCTTCAGGATCTCAGTCAGGCTCCCCACAGGCTGCCTCAGTGGCGTTGCTAGTTGATCTGCTATGTCCTTCTCTCTGCACCCAGGGCACCCCAATAAGATCCCCAAACAGACAGTTGCATAAAGAAAAACACACAGTGAGCATAGCCCCCGGGCATGTCCTTCGGGCCCCAGTGGGCAGAGCTGTCCAGAGAACAGGGACAGGGCAGCGGCGCACACAGGCTGGGGGCTGCTGGGCCAAGGCGTCCCCCTGCGTCAGCCAGGCCGTGGAGCTCCACTCAGTGCCACCTGATGACAGGCGCCCATCTGCTCATGGCTCCGTGGCCGCCTTGTCCTGGCCTCACTGGCCTGTACCCTCTGCTCGCCGAGCTTCCATGGGTCTTGTGGCCTGTGTCCTCATGGTTCCCCTGCGTCCTCCTGACTGCGACTCACCATGACCCAAACTCTCCCAAATGGCTTCTGTCTGGGCTCCTTCCAGCAGCAGCGCCTGCAGCTTCAACCTCCTGTCCTAGCAGGTTCAGTCCTGCGTGGAGCCTCTGATGGGAGTAGAGCTTTGTTCTGTGGCAGGTGATGTCATAGGTCAAAGGTTGGTCTGAGGATTCATCAGGCGTCAGTTCACTAAGGCCCATGGACGCAGGTCTGAGCACAGCTGTTAAGAGCTGACCTTTGAGCAGGCGTGTGGGTGGGGCAGGCACTGTCCTTGGCCTGTGGTGTCCAATGGGGGTCATGTCAGACCTGCTCATGGCACGCGTATATAGGCCTACGTATGTGTGCGTCTGCACACTGTACATGATGATGCCTGCCTGTGTGTGTGTGCAGACATGGGTGTGCATGTGTGTGTGTGTCCGTGCTGCAACACTGAGGGGAATGCACTCGGAAGTGGAATGGTGGTCACCGTGTTTGAGAAACAGAAATGAGTTTGTCATCACGCTCCTGCTAACATTCCACAGGAAAGAAAGTGAAGAGGTTCTGTCTCCTCTTCTTTATGATGAAAGCCAGGAAGCAACCTCAACGTCTAGCGATAAGCTGATCTCTCAGTGAATTGTGGTGCATGAGGGACATTTTTTCTCTAAAGTCTCCCGACAGTTGTTATGTTGCTGCGACAGTGAGAGCATCGCGAGGTCCCGTGGGAATAGGGAGAGGCCAGGGAGAGAGGTGCCTTGGGGAGTGGACGCTGCAGGGCGAATGAGCGTTTCCACCGCGGCCTCAGTCCTTAAGGCTGTGGGTCAATTCCTGTTTGTAGACCTCACTATTCCGAGGGCGGGGCCCCAGTCCTGCCCTGCCCGCAGCCCTCCTTTCTTTTTTAGCCACTGACCGGGCCTGTGGATAGGAACGGGCTCTGGAATGAGACCGACCTGGGTGGACCCGGGCTCTGGGACTGTGGTCCAGTGTCCGCCCACTGAGCCTGTGTGTGTCCGCGGCGTCGGGAAGCAGTGAGGCCTGCTCTCGGGCCGGTGAGCACCAGCCCCGCCCTGGAGCTGCGCCGATCAGCGGGTGCCACCCTCCCACAGGAGCACCCCAGGAGGACGCGGGAAGGGAGACTCGGGCCCAGGAGGCCCCAGACCGAGGGGGGGCCGCCGTGTGGCTCTGTGACATCACCAACGCTGACCCTGGGGTCGCGAGGCCCTCCTCCCACGGTCTCCTTCAGACCCGCTGCCCGGGCCGGGGCTGGACTTGGACTCCGGTCTTCAGAGGAGGGGAGCAGGCACGGCGGCCGCCTCAGGTCCGCAGCCTTCAGGCCCCTGGGCCCGCCCCGGCCCTGGCAGAGCTGCTGCTGTGCCCACGGCAGAGCCGCCGCCCTCGGTGACCGCCCTCTCTCCTCTCTGTCTCAGGGCGCAGCGTGGATCCCGGCCTGGCCGGTCTGCTGGGGCGACGGGCACCGCGCTCCCGACAGCCCTTCGTGGTCACGTTTTTCAGGGCGAGCCCCAGCCCCGTCCGGGCCCCTCGGGCGGTGAGGCCCCTGAGGAGGCGGCTGCTGAAGAAGACCAACGAGCTGCCGCAGCCCAACAGGCTCCCGGGGATCTTTGGTGAGGCCCGGCGGCCGGGCACGAGGCTGCAGGCCGAGGACCAGTGGTGGTGGCAGAACCTTCTGGCCCTCACAAGGGGTCAAGCCAGTGGTCACCCTCCAGCCACCCTCCTGACACCCTCCCTTGCCCCGCGCCCCCTGTGGACCGGCCATGCACTGTCTCTCAGGCCTCCCCCGGCACCGCAGGCCCCCCTGACGCCTCCGTCAGAACCAGGTGCCCTTCCTCCGGGCAGCACCGCCCCTGTGCCCGTGGCTCTCCCTCAGGCACCTTCGGGATGCACAATTGTTTAGGCGAAGGTCTCCCCACCAGGCGAGACCCTCAATCGGGGATGGGCCTCACCCCCTTGTTTGGCCTCAACATGAGCCACGTGACCTGTGCAGGGGTGTGGCAGGACGGGTGGGGTGCGGGCAGGTGTCTCAGGAGGGAAGGAGGAGCTGCCACCACCTGGTGGCAGAAAGGTCCCCTGGGCTGTTTATGGAGCATCAGGAGGCCCACAGGCTGAGCGGGAGGCTGGGCGGAGCGTGGCCTCCTCTCGAGCCACTGGGAGCCATCGAAGGCTGTTGAGCTGGTCCGCCACCAGCAGAGCAGCAGGGATGGGCTTTGAGGGACCCAATGGCTTGGTTTTTCCATCGTTCACTTATCCCACAAACGTGCCCGTGAGGGCGTCCCCGCCCAGGGAGCCCCCGTGGCCGCGGCACAGAGCAGGGCCCCAGGAAAGACCTCGCACGTCTGTCCCCGCAGATGGCGCCCACGGCTCCCACGGTCGGCAGGTGTGCCGTCGGCACGAGCTCTATGTCAGCTTCCAGGACCTCGGCTGGCTGGTAATTTCTCCTCTCCCTTCTCTCCTAAATGACGACCCCCCTGAAGGTCAGGTGTCTCTCCAGGAGAGGGTAGACTTGGGGGATTTTTTTTCCCTCATATTATTTTCTTCTGAGTTTTCCAAGTTTTCTAAAAGGAGAATGTGTTACTTTGGCTTTTTGGTAAAAACTGTGAAAATGGAGACAGTCTGCATCCTGAGCCATAAAAGGTCAGCGCTACAAAGGGAGCCTGAGGCCGGGGTGGCCGCACAGCTGAGCCTTTGCAGTGACAGCAGCTGCGGGAGGTGTGGGGGCGGGGCAGCGGGAGGACCACCCCGAGGACCACAGGGCTTGTTCCCAGTCCTGTCTGCTGAGGGTCTTGGGGTGGACGCCAGGCTTCGGGGCTGGGGAGGGGGGGCGGGGAGGGCTGCTCAGGAGGGGCCGAGAGTGAGTGATGGGTCCCTGAGGCTGAGGGAGGGAGGGAGAGGGGCAACCCTGAATCCTCCTGTGACAGGTGCTAGTGGGGGGGCGTGGGAGGGGCCAGATGGTGGGACTCACCTTCTCCATTCCCCACCCAGGATTGGGTCATCGCCCCCCAAGGCTACTCAGCCTATTACTGTGAGGGGGAGTGCTCCTTCCCGCTGGACTCCTGCATGAACGCCACCAACCACGCCATCGTGCAGTCCCTGGTCAGTACCCAGCCTGTGCTGCCCGGGCCCGGGGAGGGCCGCCTGGAGGGGAATGGGGGCACCTGCTCCGTCTCTCGGAGGTTCTCACGTGGAACCTTGGCTGGTGCACGGCTGAGTGCAGGTGTCATTAAACTCCCACACCCGTGCAGGTGCAGGTCCCTGTGTGGCCAGCTGCGTATGCAGACTCGCTGCTGGTGGACACACTCACATGCACACACTCACATGCACACACACACAGAACAGATGTCCATTCCACCTGGGCACCTGTGCACTCTGAACACATGTGCCCGTGTGCATGGGATTGTTCAACCTCAAGTGACACGTGCACACGAGGTGAGAGACAGGCGTGTGTGCTCACCACCCTCCTCACGGCGAGTCGGGAGAGTCACCCATAGCCCTTGTGCACAGGGCTCTCCTCTCCGAAAGGCCAGGTCCCTGAGGCCCAACTTCTCTCCCGGGTCCCAGGTCGGAAAGGCCCTCCCCGCTCCCCCCACTGAGAGCCCATGGCCGGCACGCCCGGGCGGTGCTGCCTGGTTCCTGTCACGTGGGCCTTCGAATGCCAAGCCCAGACACCTCATGTGGAGGCTGGAAGTTGGGAGCAGTGGCCCCCTGTCCAGTCTGGCTGACATCCCCGCAGAGGCCTGGGCTTCCCAGTGGCTGCAGAGAGGCTCTGGGCCCCAAGCCAGCCCAGTGCCCGGCTGACAGTCCTCCTGGCAGGCTGGCCCAGAGCTGGGGCTCCCGGGACCAGTGGGCATGGGGGAACAGGCACCAGACTGCCGGACAGGCCCCCATCAGAAAGCTTCACCGGGTTCTGCAGCCCCCGTAGGGCTGGGCGGTCCTGGGCCCTCGGAGCGGCCCCAACACCCACGGATGGAAGCCCGTGTCCTTCCTCTCCTGCCCCAGGACTCGGGCCGCCGGCGTGGGGCCTGACCAGGCGTCCAGTGCTAACTCAGCTCATCCTGCCAAGTCGCAGGATAAATATTTGTGTGGAGGCCGAAATAGCTCCACAGTCAGGCTCTTTCTTGGTGGGGAAGTGGTTCAGGCAGAGGGAGCGGGCTCACCGCACCTGGTCCGAGTCCTGCCCCAGCGCTCGTGGCCTGTGTGCGCTGCTCCTTCATCGCCCAGAGTCAGACTCACCTGAGAAGCTGTGAGGAGGGTGAAAAGTGCTTTGAGAAATGATGGTGTTGAACCCCCAGTTGCTCCATGAACACTCTTGGGATCAGCCAGGAGGGGGAGACGGGAAGGAAGTGGACACAAGGAAGTGGACAAGGCATGATCAGCGTCATTGCAGAAGCCCAGAGAAGCCTGGCAGTGTGGCTCAGAGGTTGAGCGCAACCCATGAACCAGGAGGTCACAGTTTGATTCTTGGTTAGGGCACATGCCTCGGTTGAGGGATCGATTCCCAGTAGGGGGCGTGCAGGAGGCAGCTGATCAATGATTCTCATCATTGATGTTTCTATCTCTCTCTCCCTTCATCTTTGAAATCAATAAAAACATTTTTTTAAAAGAAGTCAAGAAGAGGAAAGAGTGGAGGAGTTCTGGGGGTGGGGGGAGGGGTGCTGCAGGGGCCTCAGGCATAGGGACCTGCCACCAGGCACATTGTGTGCTGGGGACCAGCAGGGCCCTCAGGTCTGAGGGGAGTGGGTGTGGCAGGGAGTTGACAGGTGCCCAGGCTGTGTCCTAAGGGCCCGGGGCAGGGCAGGGGTCAAGGTGAGCAGATTTTCACACCACACTGCGCTGGCTATGGCTGGAGATGGGAGGGGTCGGGAGGCCAGGCGCTGGGCGGGTCCTGGAGGAGGCCCCAGTGCTCACACTCTGCCTGCCGCCCCCTCCCCGGCCAGGTGCACCTGATGAAGCCAGACGCAGTGCCCAAGGCGTGCTGCGCGCCCACCAAGCTGAGCGCCACCTCCGTGCTCTACTATGACAGCAGCAACAACGTCATCCTGCGCAAACACCGCAACATGGTGGTCAAGGCCTGCGGCTGCCACTGAGGCCCCGCCGGCCGCTGCAGCGCCTCCCGCCGGGGTCAGGCCCGCTCCAGAGGCTGAGGCCCTCAAACCCAGCCAGAGCACAGACAGGACTGGCACGGAGAGTCCTCAAATCGACATGTCCATGCCCCTTCCTCCTTCCTGCCAGGGCTGGTCCTTCCAGGCCCCGCCGCTCCTCCCCTGCCTGAGGTTGTGATAGATTCTGGCATTTAATTCTGGTGGGCGGAGTCATCAGACAGGGTTCTGCCCCAGCTATGTCCCGGGGTCAGCACAAAAGTGCTATCTGAGGACCTGACCTTGCTCATTGCTGGCCTGGGCTGTGGGCAGGTGTGCAATGACCTGAGAGGCACCTGGAGCCCGAGGTGGCCAGCTCAGGTCCTCCAGTCTCCATTGCAGGGTGGGGTGTGTAGACAGGGTTTGGCCCACCGCCAGTTGCCTGCCCTTCCCAGGGGGAAAAGTAGGCATTTCCGCGTACTTGTTAAAGAGCATGGACTTGCCTTGTGTGCTCTATATTTTCAGATCTGAATTACCAAACTGCTGGCCATAGGGAGGCATGTGGGGCAACTCCAGAAAGAGCTGAACGAGCAGCATGGTGAAGGGCTAAGGCCAATGGCATTTCTCTTCTGTCTTCCTGCCCTAGATCTGTCTATAATTTCTCAGCATGCAGTGCATTGAAATTTTTCCTTTGGAGAAACAAAAAATCTTGGGGTTTCACTGACCCACTGTCTGTCATCGTGTTGAACGTTGGGAGTTCAGCTCCGTGGGAAAGTGTCTTTTTACTGAGCCAAGCGCACATTTGTAGCCCAGGATGACAGTGCCCAGCACAAATGACATAACGTGCCTTTCTCTTCTGCATGACAGGCATCAATAATCAACCTTGATGCTGTTTTCCACCAAATGTGGATAGAATTTCAAGTGATCAGCACAGAACTCCAGGCAGCCGCTTCCAGCACATTAGAGTTGGCATGTGAATTGAAACCGTGCCATCTCCTGCTAAGGAGCAATCTATTCCACCCAGAGCCATGTGTCTGCAACACCGGGCAGCCTATGGCCAGGTGTGGGGCCAGGGTAGGGACTTGTCAGCACCCGTTGTGTCCATAAGTTGTCAAAACACAGGCTGGTCACCAAAGTCTGCGTCACCCTGTCTGCTCAGGAGCCCCGTCCTGTTTCTTGGGGCCTGTGAGCCCAAGAAAAGGCCCCTGTCCCAGGGGAGTGACAGGCAGTAATTAGGGTGAGCTGGGTGGGAAGGTTCCCGGAAACCACTGTTCTCCTTGGAGCAGCCGAGGCAGTGGGAGTGTTGATTTGATTTCTGACTTGCTAACCCTGTAATTTACCTGCTGGAGCAAACAGTCCAGCTGCCTGAACCCTGAAATACTGTGTCGCTAATAGCAGATCCTGGGCCCACCCCAACCCACAGGCACGGCCCACAGAGGCAGAACGACCCGTGTGCCCAAGGACGCGCACCCTGGGATCCACTCTGCACCCTGAGGGCAGGCTCTGGGAGAGCAGGTCTGGGGCAGGGGTGGAGGCTGGGCCAGGCTGCAGGGCAGCAGCCCTGACCCCTGGACTGGGAGGGATTCCGGGAGTGAGTGCTGAGGAAGAGGCCCTCCCAGGGGCACAGACTATCTTGAAGCTATTGAGCTCCCCATCAGTCACTGGCCTAGCATTGGCCCTGAGCATTGGCCTAGATGTTAGGAGACCTGACTTGTGGGTGCTTCCTCTTCTGGGCCATTTCCCATCTTTAACATGAGAGGGCCTTCAGTCATGGAATCCGTGTCTGAGTGCTGAGCCCAGATACAGCCTCATAACCTGAAACGAGCTGGTGGCCATCACAAATCTGAGCTATGAACCAGGTGGCCCTCACGAATTGGTACATAACATGGAACCTATTCGCTATTCTAGTCCTTGTGTAAAGGTTCTCTCTTCTCAACATCAAGGTTTGTTTTTTAGGTAACTGTAAATTCTAAAATAGCCAATTATTTTGGCAACTACTTTTTTAAAAAATATATATTTTATTGATTTTTTACAGAGAGGAAGGGAGAGGGATAGAGAGTTAGAAACATCGATGAGAGAGGAACATCGATCAGTTGCCTCCTGCACACTCCCCAGTGGGGATGTGCCCGCGACTAAGGTACATGCCCTTGACCGGAATCGAACCTGGGACCCTTGAGTCCGGAGGCCGATGCTCTATCCACTGAGCCAAACCAGTTAGGGCTGGCAACTACTTTTTTACTTCCCCTGGTATCTTTAGTGCCTGGCAATGGCCTGGTGTGGGTAGGGGTGAAATAGAAATGCCTGTCAAATGACCCCAAGGTTTGTAGATACGGTATCCCTTCCCTATCAACCAAGCTTTGCACAGCAGGAATGAATAGGAGTTGCAATCCGTTTTCGAGCAGAACAATTGAAAAACAAGTCACTGCTTACCCACCTGGCCATCAGACTTCCAGCAACTTTTGAGACCTAGTCACCAAATGAAATCAAATAGAAAAAGCCCCAAGCAGTGAAATAATTGTGGACACAAGCCCATGCATTTTACTCCAAGAGTTATCTGTTTGCTGAGTCGAGCGTGGCAGCTGCAGTGGGTGGCCCAGGCTGGCAGGAACACGGCCCCGATGCCACTGCTTCCCTTTCTCTTGCTCAGGGCATGGCTTGTTTATCTGGTCACGCCAGACCAGAAGGATAAATAAGGGTGGTCCGTGCATACCCACCGACAGCAATGAGAAACGAGGGACAGTTGGCAGGAAGGGGAGACGCATGGAGATGCAGGCTAAGGAGAAACGCAGGCAGCCTTGGTGTTCCAGTGCAGACCTGGCCTTGAGACCAAGTGGTTGCAAGGTTAGTGCTCACTGTCTTCTAAGGCAGGGAAGTCACATGTTCTGGAAAAATCCCTAGGAAATAGGAAAGAGCAGCATAGCAAGAGTATAGGTTTTGGGAACCAAATAGATGCGAATCCTGGTTCTTCCTCCTCTCTACAGCAGGATATTGGCTTTTCCCTCCCAGGCTGTGACAAGGATCAGATATGTCCATAAACATTTAGGACAATGTCTGGCCTATCAATGCTTAACAACTGGGACCTGCTGATGTTATTACAAATGAACTTGCTAGTCTTGAGCGCCTTCCATGCTTGCCCACTAAGCCTCCTCCCAGAATATGTCCCAAGGGTGATAGTGTATTTACTTCAGAGCTGGGTTTTTCCATTCAAAAAACTACATACTGCAATACTTTGAGGGCAGGACTTGAATTCTCACCTGCTTGGAAGGCCCGAGGCAAGTGCTGAGTTTTGCTGGCAATGGCCAGGGCTGTGAAGCTTGGCTGTGTTCCCTGACACAGGGGGCCCACTGTCCTGTAGAAGGTGCTCAGCACCCACCAACTGCCCCTGAGCATTTGAAAGGGATGGTCCATCCATAGTGTCGTTTTGGAGGGAAGTTTAAATAAAAACAAAAAATACAATGCAAATCACCATAGTCCTACAACTCAGATAAATACACTATTAATATTTTGTGAATTAATTTCTAGTTTTCCCCCCTTAGGATATACATATAAATATAGATGTTTACATATTATAGATAGGTATTTTTAAAAATTGGGTATTTTTACACAGTACTATATCAAAGTACTTTGAGATATGCTTTCCCCACTTTCTTATACGATGAAAATTTCCCTGTTAATAAATATTTTTTAAAAACATGGCTTTCTAGATTTCTATCCCCTGAACACTACAAGACTCAGGTTTCATCACTAAAAAAGCAGGTCTCACAGTCCCTCCAAGCGGTTGTGCAAGGCTTCCATGACAGTGACACATGTCTATGCCAGCAGCCTCGGAAGGCAGATACGGCTTTAGAGGAAACTCCGGCCGCCACAGGACTGATGCTGGCCACTGTTGCTCAGGCCTCACCAAGCTTTTATAGTCAGAGGTAAACAAAGTAGTGGTTACCATAGTTACACAGTTCTTGTGAGTTTCACTTGTTTTGACCATAGTTACACTTCCTGCACTTCCCTCAGCCCATTAGCTTCCCAGATAAGATCTAGGGAGTGTCACAAGGTCAAGCCTAATTATGCTAAGAGGACTGTGCTCTCTAAGCTGGGACTTGTTTGTGACTTTGCCAACAGGTCAGTCCGAGGCTTAACCCTATATCAGTTCCCCATCCCTAACCCTAAATCTAACCCTAACCCTAACCAAACCCTAGTGAGGGAATGAATTGGCAATTGGCAGAACCTGGCCCCAACCCTAACCCCAACCCCAACATGAATGGGGCCCTTTGCTTGGAGGGTCTCTTCTGGGAGCTCCCTGCCACAGGAGACGGGAATCTGGGTAATTACAGCAGAGGGAGCTCAGCTAAAGGCTGGGAGTCCATTTGGTAGACAGGAGCCAGAAGCCAGAATGCCATTGTCTGTCCCTCAGTAGGAGCTACCTTGGGATCACAGGGCCAGGGAGCAGCAGACCTCTCCTGCCTCCTGGCGCATCCACATCTTAAGATTGAAAAACCCAGGGCACTGCCCTAGCTGGTTTGGCTCGGTGGATAAGAGCGTCAGCCTGCGGTCTGAAGGTTCCTAAGTTCGATTCTGATCAAGGGCACATGCCTGGGTTTCAGGCTGGGTCCCCAGTAGGGGGCGTGCAGGAGGCAACCGATCAATGATTCTTTCATCACAGATGTTTCTATCTCTTCCTCTCCCTTCCTCTCTGAAATCAATAAAAATAAAATCAAACCACAGCAGTGGATTCTGAATGGTGTGGCTACAGAGCTCAGTCCCTGCTCAGAGCCTTCCACAGGTGCGGGATCTTTAAAACCACCTGGGTAACCAGGACATGGAAGAGGAGTGTAGAGAAGCCAGCCCGCTGGTCTGCCCCGCAGATTTCCGACTTGCCAACTCCCACAATCATAGAACAATTCTTAAAATAAACCTCTCTCTTTACAGGTGCATATATACAATGTCCTCTTGGTTGTTTCTCTGGAGAACTCTAATAGTGGGGCCATTCAACAATGCTGGGGCAGTGAGAAAGCAGCCATAGACACCAAGGGAACAAATGATGTGGCTGTGCGCCAATAAAACTTTATTCATAAAAATAGGCAGCAGGCTGGATTAAGCTCAGGTAGTGTGCTGACCTCCTGTCTCCTGACAAATAAGCATAGTATCTGGCATGGAAAAGGCACATCGAGTTATAAATGTCATTTTTTAAATTCTGTAGAACAGAAGTGAACAAATAAATGAATCACTGAGACTCGTAAGTATGCAGGTTGGCTATGACAAGCCAGCTTCAGGTTAGCAGCAGGGGCAACGGATGGGAACTTTTCCACTGCCTCTGACTTTCAGAATATCTGGCTTGAAGATACATCACCTGGCATCTCAGGGACTATACCCAAGAAAGGAAAGACACGTTGCGGAGAAAACACTATGCCCCACTTCCTCGCCAGCCTATCTCGGCGTGACAGCTTAGCCATAGGTGCAGTCTCCCAGGAACTAGCTAGAGGCAGCAAGACAGGAACTTGGGTTTATTTTACCAGAAGAAACGTCCAGAGCCACACTGCTGGGCCCAGGAGAGGCCCTGGCAGCAAAGGCCTAGAAAGGCCACGCAAAGTCGTCCATGGTGGGGAGGGTGGCACCTGTGCTGGATCCCAGCCCGTGGCCTCACTTGGAAGAGCCAGGGGAAGGCCAGGCCACGCCTGCAGAGGAGCTGCTCCAAGCTGAGCCCGAGGAGGCCACGGCACAGACCCCCGTTAACAGGTGCTGGGTCCCCGGGGCTGCCGGATCCTGGATGCGCGGGGCGGTGCAGAGGAGGCGCCTCTCACACGTACTCCCCACAGTCAGAGATGATCACCTTCTCCTTCGGCTTCCCGTCCTTGCTGCCCTGCGCCTTTGCGGGCGGAACAGAAGAGAAGAAATAGGGAGGGAGGGTGACGATTAAAGGGGCTCAGGGACACCCATCCCCCCATTCCCAGGCTGAGCAGAGCAGCCTCCTCCTCGAGCAGCTGGCTCCCTCCAGGCCACAGGGCGCCGCTCCGCTGTCCCACAGGCTGTGCACCGAGGCCTGGGCAGCACCCACCTCGATCTGCCGCAAGACATCCAGGCCTTCCGTGACCTCCCCGAACACCACGTGCTTGCCGTCCAGCCAGTCCGTCTTGTCACACGTCAGGAAGAACTGGGAGCCGTTGGTGTTCGGGCCGGAGTTGGCCATGGAGAGCAGGCCTGGGGGGGAACGAGCAGTCAGTCCTTCCACCCGGCTCCCTCAGCCAGGCCCACGCTGGGACAGACAGACCATGCGATGTCTTTCTTTCCCTCAACTGACGGCAGTGCAACGGTGAGCAGGGTTTCAATCACTTTATATGGATTTAACCCTCCATTCACTCAACAAACACTTCCTGTCTACTTTGTAACCAGACCCCTGCTGAGCCTGGGGACACGGTCCCAGCTCCGGGGGAGCTCAGTCTAGTGGAAAAGCGTCACGAAGAGAGCTGTGCCGACAGCCATGACAGAGTGAGGCCAGGGACACAGACACCTGTGCAGGGACCGGACGCAGAGGCAGCCACACAGGGACCGTGTGTGTGTGTGCATGTGCACGTGTGTGTGATGTATGCTGGTGCACGATCATGGAAGGCTCTCTGGAGGAGGGGCCATCTGAGTGTGTCTAAGAGGCCCAGGTCGGTGGGCTGAGGGCGTGCGGCAGGAGGCGCGGCAGCTGGTGCGTGGTGGCGAGAAAGCCGCTCTTCCCGCTGGGCCTCGGCACGGCGCCCTGTGGATGGACCACGTCCCACTCCACTCTCAGTGCAGAGCAGGGTGTCGCACACCTAACAGACCAGCCTGCGAATATTTTAAATATTCAAGTACTTATTGTGTGTTTCTGATGTGTCAGCCGCTTTCCAGACACAGTGGTGAAAAGAAGGCCCGCTCTAGCCAGGCGAACCCTTTCCCCTATTCACTAGCGGGGTCTCCTCCAGTCCCGACCCCTGGCCAGAACCACAGCGACATCCCATCCCGCACAGGCGTCCTGCCAGGCCCGGGCCCCTCAGCACCCCCCAATCAGGTCCCACCTGGTCCCGTGTGCTTGAGGATGAAGTTCTCGTCATCGAACTTCCTCCCGTAGATGGACTTGCCCCCGGTGC